ACATGCTCATTGTTTAAAACTCAAATATCATTCATGTAGTATTTTTACCAAATGCTGTTAACAATCAGACAAATCCAAATAACTAATCTGGACTCTTCAAAAAGGTCAGTGTCATGAAAAACAAAAAAAGGCTGGAAACTATTCTGAAGACTAAGGAGACATGACAACTAAATTCAGCATATGATCCTTGAGACAACTAGAGGAATGTGAATATGGGCTATATATTAACTAGTAATATTTTATAATTTCCTGAGTATGCTAATTGTACTAGAATTATGTAAGAAAATATTCTTGTTCTTAGCAGATGTATGATAAAAATATTTAGGAAGGGAAATGTCATAATGTCTGCAACTAACTCAAATGGTTCTGACAGAAAAATAAAGATAAGCAAACATGGCAAAATACTAACAATTAGGAAATCCAGTAGAAGAGTAGAACAATATTCATTGTACTACTTTTGGAATTTTTCAGTAGATTTGTAATAAAACATTGAGGAATAATACTTAAAATTTTTAACTCATAATACAAAAATGTACAGTTTGGTAAATTAAAGCCAATCATAATACATTCTCAAAGGTAGTTATTTTTCAGTCTAATGTATAATATTCCAAATCTTTCCTATATATACACTAACCCTATGTGTACTAATATAGTGTTAAAAGCTTATGTATCTTTTAAAATAAAAATTATAATTGTATCATACACTATTCTGCAACTCGCTTTCACTTAACAATACAACTTACCGTATTTTGATGTGTATAATGTGCTCCTGTGTATAATGCACACCCATGTTTTTGGCCAAACTTTCAGAGGAAAAAATCCTTCGTTTTAATTTTTTAATTCAAATTNTTCCATAGCACTTTGTGTTTATACATCATAACCCCTTACTAAAATACATCACAACAGTTTGTCTATTTTTCGCCAATTTTTCAATTCCTTGAGAGCAGAGACTCTGTATTTTTTTATTAAATAAGCATATATACAGCATTTACAATGTACCAGGCACTTTTCTATGTGCTTTATAAATAGTAATTCTTTCCTTCCTCATAACAACCCTATGAGGTAGGTCACAGGGAAGTACTATTATTATCCCCATTTTATAGATGATGAAATTGAGGTATGGCAGAGAGAAGTTAAGTAACATGCCCAAAGTCATACAGTCAGTAGAAAGTGTTAGAGGTGGAATTCAAACCCAGGTGGTCTGGTTCCAAAGTCCAAGCTCTTAGCCTATATACTATCTTATTAATTAATATATCCCTAAAATCCAGTGAAGTACCTAGTAAGTAGTAGGTATTCAATAAATATTTCTTCAATAATTAAAATTAATCCTCACCACCCATACTTGGGACACTCATGCAGAGTGAAAAAGGATGTGAGGAGGGGCTAAAAATCCCGAAAGAAGATGAGTTTGGCTCTCATGTCTCACCCTTTCAAACTGCTAAACAGGTCCTCGGTGACCTTGTGCACCTGCAGCACGTCCTCCCGGATGAGGGTGATGTACAGGGAGCCTTGCAGGCAGAGCTTCCATAGCTTCTGGCACTGGTTGTTGGAGTTGAGGCATCCATGACAAAGGAGAAACCCAACTGCAGGTGGGTAAAATGGTGCAGAGGAAGATTTCAGAACTTGCTCTCCAGGTAACATGCTGCTCTATCTCTTCCCACCTAGTCCCACAAAACTTACTGCTAATCCAGCGTTCCATCACTTCCACAGACAGATATTCACAGGCCATCTGTGGGAAGAGAGACAGAGGTGGTCAAGCAGTTGTTTAACTTGGTCTTCCCCTAAAGACTAATGCAGTCAAACTAGAATGCAAATACCAAAACTAACTTTTATTTTACCAGACTGGGTTACAGCACTTTGATAAGT